ACGCTATTCCGATTAACATCACATTCTTGGTCAATTTGTCGCACACTAATATTAGTGTGTATGTATGTATGAGGATTTCGAGCCACCATTGCGAGGACCATAATTTTATTCCCTTCATGAGTTATTCGCTTTTCACGTTCATTTTTACGGGTATCTAAGCTACCGGTTTGTCTAAGTTTATCGTACACATTTTTAAATGTTTGACGCGCAGGGTGAGTGCGATTAGGATATCGTTCAGCGTATAAATTTTTTGCTCGCAATGAATTTTTTGACATTCACAGTAAATGACGATCATGTCAATTTGTTCTTCAAATGAATACATCTTGCACGATTAACTGATCTATCAATACGAGATATCTATCAATACGAGATATCAATACGTTGCGAGAGACAAACTCAATGAAAAATTTGCAAATCGCTGGATTGGACGTGGGGGTCCTGTAGTATGGCCAGCTCGTTCACCAGACTTGACACCACTGGATTTTTTTTATGGGGAACCCTGAAGGACATAGTCTATAAAGATGAACCAACTACATCTCAAGACATGCAACAACGAATTATTAGAGCCTGTGCGTTAATAACTCCCGATGCTATTAAAGAGCAAACCAGTCAATAATCAGAAGAATACAGTGTTGCATTGATAATAATGGCTATCATTTCGAACATTTTTATAAACGTTGTCACTTCATTTCAGAATAAAGTGTAAAATATCTCGTAAACTATTGATTTTTTGATATCTTTACCTTAATACTTTTATATGCAGAATAATTAGAGAAATCATATTATGTAAAAAAAAAACATATCATTCCATTTAAAAACACGAAGTTGACCTTGAAATCTCCGAAGCGCCTCCACCTGGACAAAAATTATTATCGTCATATGATAGCCCTCTTTGTACCGTGCAATTTTGGTTATATACATTTTTCTCTAAACCTTATAGATTCGAAGATATCAAGGTGCTAATAGCTCTAAGACACCCTGTATAAGTTGCAAAAATTCGTGAATAAATACATTATCGTTGTTGTAAAAAGTGAAATAAATCTTGCTAATACATTAAATACAAATTACATATAATAATATAACATTATTTACTTATCAATACAATAGTACAATATGTTGTCGAATAAAACTTTTTAAAAATTAAATATTACGACTTGCACATATATAAATGCACTTGAAATAATTATATCACAAAATGATAAGAAATGAAATATTAAATATCAAATTAAATATTAAAATATAAAAAAAATATATAAAGCTTCTCCATATAGAATTTTCCATATAACACTTTTTCTATATTACTTAATTTTCTGATATTGAGTGATTATATTATAAAACAAGATCGATGCACAAGTAAAACATACAAGTATAAAATACAACAGAATATATGTATAATTAGATGATATATAAAAACTTACCACTGTTGCGTATCCATACATGATGTCTTTGATCCGTCTGTAGTGGGAATCTATATAAACGTTTTCCATGAGATCTTGAACTCGTGCAGTCTTTATACATGCACTTATCGTAAAAATTATCTGTGCCGCACTGATTAGACATCTTTCTTTTATATATATTAAATTTAATACGTACGCAAATACACCTACGAAAAATTTTGCTAAGCAAAAATAACACACTGAACACCGCACACAAAAAATCCTTTACGGATATAATCGCGTATAAAATCTTTTATGGACAATAATCACAAAGCACGCCGAAAAGAAAACAGCGTGTACTTCTCTCGCAAGATCGTCCAGAAGACAACAAATAAACGCTGACTTGCGACAAGTTCCCCTTCCTTCCCACTACACGTAAAAACACAAACGTAAAAATAACATAAGTTGGTAAAAATGACGTCAAAATACATATAATCAGGGCCGGTTTTGATATAAGCAATATAAGAAATTGCTTAGGGCCCCGCGCCAGTAAAGGCGTCAAAGGTTCCATACAACTAATTTCATACAAATATTAAATGGACGGAAAAAATTAAAAAGGCTCTTTTTAAAGCCAGTGCTTAGAGGCCTTCTACGATCTAAATCTGGCCCTGCACATAACTGATTCTTTCAGTTATGAATAGAAAATCTATATTATATAGATTTCCCGTGATAAGACCTGCTAGTTTGAGATTTATGTAATTGTTTCAACTGTGATTGCGATCTTTGCGTCATGCTCGTATAAATGCCAACTAAAATATGTAGGTATATAAGTATATAAATTGTTAGTACAATATTGTGAATTATTTTTAACATGCGTTCTACGTTAACAGAAATTTTATTAAATAAAAAGTGTTTATCACTTTGAAAGGAAGCATTTCCGGAGCCACGTTCATAAGACTTTTTTTCATCCTTACACCTTGTATCTATCTTATATATCTCTCTTTTGTAAACATAGAATATAATAAAATATGGTATAATAGAGCTACAGGCGAAGATCCACTTAAAAAAAATCTAGCGCGCTATTAGTGGCACCTCATGGGTAGTGTGGAAGACCACTATTAATTATTACTAATTAATTATTCATAAATCTTTCTTTTTTCAGTTGATAGAGGTAAATTCCAAATAAGGCGAGCCGCTAAAATATTGAAGGTATCGTATTTGAAAATTGCTTCTTACAATTTTTTTTCCGCTTTTACACATTAGTTTCTAACAGTAATCGATTAAATTATTAAATAATATTTTCGACCAAAAAATATTATTTTATATTTATTTATAATATTCATATATGTCAAACTTGCATTTTATTGCAAAATTGTAAAATTATTTTTTATTTTTCTATTGACAATAGCGAGTATTCAGTATTTCTTTCTAGAGTTATTAATTTAACATATGCGAATATTTTTAATAAATATAAAATAATATTTTTTAGCAAAAAAACCTTATCTAATCCATTTACCATATTTGTTGTGCAGTTAGAAAGAAAAGCGGAAATGCGGAAAAAAGTTGCAAGAAGCAGGTCTCGAACGCGTGATGTTTAATATTCTAGCGCGACTCGCCTTACTCGATTAGAAACGCTTGATTCTTAACATTTATCATACGCTGTGTCGACCGAACAGCCGAACACACACGGACGCGTGACGTTCTCGCTTGTGTAGTGCTCGTATGGTGGGGGCGCTGCCCCTCACGTTGCCTGCTGCACGGAGCTCGAGTTCGCATCTCTCTTTTACCATCCCGGAAAGTGGATGTAACGCGGACATAAACCAACCATGTCTCTTTTACCATCCCGAAAAATAGATGTAACACAGACATGAACCAACCAGGGCTTTTTTACCATACCGGAAAATGGATGTGGCCATGTAGTTCCAGGCAGGCTGAAAAATGGATGTACGCGCCGCTAGTGTACGGCCTAGTAAAAGCGTCGTACGAAAAACGTCAGCGTGGCCCCTCTCAGGTTTCTCTCTGGTAGTAATAAAACAATATCTTGATAGTGGTGTCATTAAAGCGAGATTGTCGTAATTTTTTAAAATATAAATAATAATTAATATGAAACTTTTCGAGAGAGAAAGAGAGAGACGTTACTTATTAAGATTACTGTTTTATTGCTTCCTTAACTTAAAAGTAAACAATTTCTACAGCTTACCGTTCAGACTGCCCTTTTATTTCCGTTATGTAGATGATGTTGTCACTGCTGTTCCCAAGAACTCAGTAGAGAACATCCTACATCTTTTTAATTTAATTCATGAGAAAATTCAATTTTCTGCAGAATTGGGCATAGGCGGAAGAATCAATTTTTTGGACGTCACCATGATTATCAATGATAAGAACTTCAAGTTTGATTGGTATCATAAACCTACATTCTCAGGTCGATACTTGAATTTTTTCTCTCAACATCCGAACGCACATAAGAGGGGTATTGTAATGGGACTGGTTGATAGGGCTCTTTTCTTATCGCATCCTGAATTCCATCAAAAATATTTAGATGAGGTAATAAAAATACTATTATACAATAGTTTTCCTCTCCCGTACATTTTCAATCTTATAAGACATAGAATTAAATTTTATATACACAAAAAGGACGGAGTACGAGATGTTACTAACATAGGAGAAGATGACGAGAACATAAGATATTTTACTATTCCTTTCATTAGAAGTGAATCAGAAAAGTTCTCTTTCATGGCTAAAGATCACGGCATGAGATTATCTTGTTTCATACCCAAAAATTTAAAGTTCTTCATCAAGAATCACAAAGACATAATGAACAATTTTTCCCATAATAATATTGTATACAGAATTTCTTGCAAAGATTGCGCAGCCACTTACATTGGACAAAGTAAACGACAGCTAAAAACTAGAATTTCTGAATACAAAAACGACATAAAGAAATCTTCTGCGCGCTCTGTCATATTGGAACACCGTTTAGATTACAATCACCAATTTGATTGAGATTGTGTTACCATTCTTGATGAAAAGGCTTGTTACAAGAAGAGATTAATCTCGGAAATGACTTATATTAAAAGACAAAAATTTGGGCTTAACAAACAAAGTGATACAGAACTCCTATGCGATTCGTCCGTTCCTATTCTCAACATGCTGCCACCTATTTAAAATCAAATAATTATTGACTTCACTCTGGATTAACCCTCCCCCTCCTCCCCCCTTCTTACTCCCTACCTACTCGTCCCGGTCCCCCCCTCCCTTCCTCTCCTCACCCTTTTCCTTCCTACCGATTAACACCTCGCACAGACTCATGTTCGAATTTGAGATGACCGGTACTTTGATTTCTCACATAGCAGTTCTTTGCACAGCCTCATAAATGAGTACACATTGTTAACTAGATTATTATAAATTTTATATAAGTACTTACGATATCCACAAGTCAACTTTATATTTATATTTATTTGTATAGTGTTACCGTTGACCAATTTGTACTAATGATAATTCATGTCTCACCAATGAATCCCAGCACGCGGAATTAGGTATAATTTTATATTCATTAAAATCAACAAACACTGTATCGACTCCGTTCAACCGACATATGTAACTGTTTTTTAATTTGTCTCAATTTATGTATTATAGATTTATACTGAAGATGATCGGAAATGCCGATCGAAACGTTTAATTTCATTCCTGATTAAATAAATGAAAAAAATTTTTTTGTTTGGCAATCAAGATCCTGCTGCGGCCTTTGATCCTCTCACTCCATAACTGTTAATTTTACGCTAAGCCTAGATTGATTCTATTAATTAAACAATTTCTGTTTAAATCTTTTTAAAAAATATATTTTTTAAAGACATTTTAAATAAATATTTAAAATAGATATTTTTCTGGGTGGTATTTATAGTTCGATTTTATATTTAGAATCGTCTTATGATTTTATTCAACTAATGAAATAATGTTGCGCAACCATTTTGTTGATTGAATGAGGTTTTAAAATGATTTCGAATATAAGATCGGATTATGAACACCATCCTATATTTAATAATTTTATTTGGATTTTATCTGGATAAAAAAAGATATCCAGGGGACATTGTTGGGATCTAATTTAATTATATGTAGGATATCCCAGGGATTTATTTTTGGATATCTTTGGAAATTTTACGGATATCTGAAAAGCGGACATTTAGATATCCCACGGATGCCCTACGAATATCCTACGGCTTTGTACATCCCAGGGATATCTGAAAATCCTTTACATTACATCCCACGGACATCCGTAGGATGAAATTTTGCTATGTGGGAAGAGTTTTTTATTTCTAGGCTCCTTCAACATTAGAATTTGGATAAAGTAGATATAGGTAAGTTGTGTTAGAACTAAATATATTCTATACTTTTATATAAATATATAAATTAAACTGTAAAATAATAAAATTAATATATACAGCATGTTCCATTTTAAATTACGCATCTGAATATCTCGTCAGAGGAGCCACCAATCCGAAAATAACCCTTACAAAAGTTGTTGGGTTCGGAAGGGGACATCGGATGGTGATTTTCAATTTTACCTTGAACTTGACCTTCAAGGTCATTTAAAGGTCAAATCGAATTTTTTTAATAGAAACCCCTATTTTTGATTTCAAAATCTAATAGCTAGTGTCA